GTGAACTTTTTGCAGGAATCAGTATACTTGCTGTTGGTGACTTTTTTCAGTTACCACCAATCCGAAGTGCAACTGCCTTTTCAAATTATAAGAATGATGCATTTAATTTGTGCCATCCATGGCATGTCTTTAAAATGGCTGAACTAACACAGATCATGAGACAAAGATGACATTTACTTCACACAACTATTGAATAGAGTTTGTACTGCTTCACACACAGACGATGATATCACATGTATTCAATCTAGAGTAATTACTGCAGATGATGAAAATTATCCATCAGATGCGTTATATATCTTTGCAGAAAATGCACCTGTGGACGAGTATAACCTTGATCGTTTAGAAAAGATTCCATCACCCCATTACATATTAAAAGCTGTGGATCAACTCCCACCCCATGTTAGAAAACAGGATATAGAAAGAGTATTGTCTAAAGGTAGATCTCAAACTGGAGGACTTGATACTGAAATTATGATCAAGGAAAATGCAAGAGTTATGCTTACAAATAATGTAGATATCATAGACCGATTAATAAATGGCCAGTTAGGTACAGTGGTCAGAGTTGCTGTTGACAGTGTAAGCAATAAACCCTCTACTATTTTTGTTAAATTTGATGACAGAAATGCTGGAATTTCTGCTATTCAAAAGTCCTCCAGTAGTTTTGCGAGAGAAAACAGTGTTGTTCCCATCCAACCTGTGCTAGCAAGAATTAAAGTCAGACCTGGAAAGCCATCATCTCCTGAAATACAAAGACTACAATTTCCTTTAACTCTTGCATGGGCATGCACTGTGCATAAAGTACAAGGATTAACTCTGGACAATATTGTTGTTAGTTTTGATTTAAAAAGGCAAAGGTATTTTAACCATGGTCAAGTGTATGTAGCACTGAGTCGAGCAACATCTTTAAATGGCCTACATATTCTAGGAACTCTTGAAAATAAGCATATTCGAGCAAATCCAAAAGTCCAGGAAGAATATGAAAGATTGCGCGAAATTTCAAATCTCCAACCACAACTAACAACTGCAGACTTATCTAACAAAGATACTTTCTCTATTTGTATTTTGAATATCAGATCATTTAAGAAACACAGTTTGGACTTAATTAATGACCCAATCTTGTCAAAATGTGACATACTTGCACTTACAGAGACGCAGCTTTCAAGCAATGTTGAAAATTGTGAAATGAACTTGATTCTAAAAGATTTTTCTCTGCACAGACAAGATCATCATTCGGATAAGTTCTTAAGTTTAGCTGTCTGCTACAAAGAAACTGTTACACTTAATGAAACAGAATATTTCAGTTCAATAAATGGTTTAAAATTTGTAATTTATATATCAGGTAATAATTTATCTTTATCCTGCTTATTACTTTATCGTAAGCATGGAGGTAACATTCAGCAGTTCATAGCTGGCCTAGATTACATAATAAGAAGCTGTGATATTGATATTATATTTGGTGATTTTAATATTGATTATTTTAATGATAACAGTAATTCTTCATTGAAAGAACTTGCTGAGTCTTTAAACTATGTGCAACTTGTAAATAAACCAACATTTATTTCATCCGGAAGTGTTCTAGATCATGTTTATGTAAAACAGTCAATATGCAACACAATAGAAGCAAATGTTGTTAAGTGTATATTATTCTGACCATGAGGCTGTTAAGGTTAGTGTGAGGTCTTAATATACAGTATACAGTAGTTCAAATATAGTACCAATTGCTTAAACATAGACACATATATTATATATATAGCCAATATCTTATAGCCCTTATATCCAATATCTTACTCGTATTAAATTTGCAGAAAAAAACATTGAAAATCAATAAATCTCTCAAATGGAATGCCAGTCAACAAGAAGATGCCTGGTATGGGGAATCTGGTTGGGGGATCTGGTAGATCCCTGAAGACTATAATGATGAGTCTCTACCATTCCATAAAAACAAGGTATGTTGAAGTTATCTTTTTATAAAAACTAACTTTAGGTATAGTAAAGATGTAATATATACAGTGTACTGTACAAGTATGGCTTGTTGACTGTATAAATAAAATTTAATGTTTGAAGTTTGCTTTATATTGCGTATTTTTATACACCCTGTGCCTGCATAATAAAGCTGCACTATGCTACTGTAGATACTCTTTTTAAACAAACTTACGTGTCTTTCTACAAAAGTGTTCAACAAATCACTACATTATGACAACAAAATATGCAGAGGTGATTCCTTTCAGTGATCAAATGGGCAGAATGCAATGGTGTTGTGTTTACATGGCTACAAACTTTATTGATTGCATTATCTTCACTGTTCTAATCGTGGACTCCTATTTTGAACTCCTATGGATACTATAAACTTCACTGTTATAATCATGGACTCCTATGGATACTATAAACTCCACTGTTCTAAGCATGGACTCCTATGGATACTATAAACTTTACTGTTATAACCATGGACTCCTATGGATACTGTAAACTCCACTGTTCTAAGCATGGACTCCTAATGTATGCTATAACTCCACTGCTCTAATCATGGACTCGTATATGGATACTGTAACTCCACTGTTCTAATCATGGACTACTATATGGATACTGTAAACTTCACTGTTGTAATCATCAACTCTAGACTTGCCACAAGTCAACCTTGTTGTTGAGCGGTGAAGCCGCCAACCACGAACTGAGGGAAAATATGGAAAGGAAAGTCTGTTGGGAAAGTCTACATACATTAACTCACAAACTTGAAACTTGTGTGACAAACATGATCATACCATGTGTGACAAACATGATCATACCATGTGTGACAAACATGATCATACCATGTTCCTCAATACTGGTACCCTATATCAACGATGGTCAACATATCCACTGATATTGTAAGAACTTGACCAACATTAACAGATTATTAAAAATAAACATCATAAAAATGTCACAGATCCAAACTGCAAGGTATTTGCATGGATTTCTTCAAACTATTCAGCCAATCCATTACTATTACAATCTATTATTAGTCGCATCTATTACATACAATCTTTCCTAATTTATCACATATCTTCTGTAAATTGTACAGTGTATAATTGTTCTTGCATTTATGTTATGTGTCTTGTGTTCTGTCTTTGTTAAGGTTGGTCTTCACTGTAGCCATTTGGCTTCCCTGATTGGCCAAATGGATCGTATTTATCCGCAAACTATGTCACAAGGCAAACTTTTTAAAAAGGTCTATTATATTCAATCTATGCCCAAGAATGTTTCTTTGCACGTTATAGTGCAGCTACTGGGCCACTTGCATTGAACTCATTAGCTTCTCATCACTAACGACTTCGAAAAGTACTTTCTTAACCAGAAGAAGAGTTTCTACAATCATTTTCCGCGAGAGTTTGGCAGTATCGGTTTCCTTGATATTGTAATTTTTCGTCGCTTTAATAGACTCAAACATGCTGTTTAGAACGGAATTCGAACAATAAAAGCGTCCTTTATTTTCGTTGTTCTCATCAATCACTATCACGTTTGCCGAGACCGTTTTCTTTACGAATTCTTTCAAGAACGTCGTTTTGCACGAACCGCAATTGACGAATTGGTCGTCCGAGTCTGTAATTCGACTTCTGCAGTTGACGCAAACAAGTGTAAATGACACATCCACACCTAAAACTCTGCCGGTCAAATTTGAACATTCCTTTTCCTTGGGTTTAAGCTGTTGGGCTGCTGCACATATTTCCTCGGGTATTTCGATGTCTTCGATTTCGTTGATCACTGACTCGCGTATGCCATTGACAAACTTGATGTTGAAGAAGCTGACTTTGAATTGTTGGAATAGGTACGAATGCCCTTCCGTTATGTTAGGGATCATGTTTTCCCAAATCGTCACTTTGATTGAACCGGTTGCGTCGACTATGATTGCTTCACACTTCAGTAAGGTTTTCCTCATTGTGTGCGAATACACGCTTTCGGTCGTTCCTTTCCAAACCACTTTTGCCGTAATGGAAACAAGATCATTGATACTTGATTCTTTTATTTCTTCAACCGTATGTTGCTCCTTTTCGTGAACTGTGTTCCATGGAAACGCCATATTCTTTTCCCGAATGACTTTCGACCTATTGTTCATGGTATACTCGACACTGTCCGGTTCATATTTGCGTTTCTTTGCGGTGACATTGAGGAGTTTTACAGGCGATTTGGTGATTTCGTTATCTTTTATTTCATTCCGTTTTTCTGGGCTGAAGCAAACCACGCGCACACTTTCTTCCCGCTCCTGGATTTTGAAGTCGAAGTACCGGTTTCCCGATGCTGGCGTTTTAATTTCAGATACTCCGTGAATATAGCCTTCGACGTCTTTTTTCATTGCTGTCGAATCTCTCCCCTGCCCTGCCATTGCCCACAATATAATTTTAGACAGCGAAAAATACAGAATCGATCAACAAAATGCAAAGAAATAAAATGACAGAGTAATGACACACGGCAAATCACTGATATTTATACAAACACAGAACAAAGACTCGTTTTTCTGAGGTGAAAAGGACCACACGGTAGAGATGTGTTCCAATTGGTTGCTGAAGCGCAACGTTTCCGTTGTGCCATGGTTTTGCAGGCTCATGCGGCACTCATGCGACAACTAGACCTTAGGGTGCTCTGCTCTGACGTCTATGCGACAGCACGCCCATCGAGCGCCGGAAATCATAACCTCGTAAACAAATTGAAACTCTTCTACAAAACATCGAAACAGTATGATTTGATATAAAATAAAGACTTTCCTATGCCTGTGGCGCGTGCTGTATTTTGTATGGTCAGAGATACTGCGCCCACGTTCAACATCGCAATTACAGTTTCGTTGATCAGGATATAAATTAGTGATATTGTTTCCCATATATGTCGACGCCTGGTCACATGACAGGAATCACTATATTTTCATGTATTATTTAGTAGCAGACCGTGTCGCACTGTTGTGTCACGGTCGCAGACTAGTACAGACTAAGGACTCCATATAAAGCTAAGCTGTTGTAAACTTTTGAATGAGCACTGTCTAAAATGCGGACTTTGTATTATGAAATACGCTCATGCTACATAAACATACATGCATTATTCGTGGAAAGGCCTACACTAAAATATGTTGAGCGTTTTCAAACCAGGCCAATGACCCACGACTTTTGAAAACCCGGAGTCGAAATAGACAAAACCGGATTCAAAACAAGGACTCTGTGTACGAAAATGCAGAAGTTTTTTTGGAAAGGTTTAATAATTAGTAACATGATAAACGATGATCTCTTTATATCTTTATCTCGATATTCTTAATCTTCTGCTGTTAACAAAATAATCACTTAGATATACTGGAACCAAATCATTTAAGCACTTATAAGTTATTAAAAACTAAAATGTATTGATGCATACGATCTACAAGTAGCTAGTACGAGGGTAGCATGTTGATTGTTGATTCTCAAAATAACCTTCACTTGATTTATTGTCAAACTTCATTGTCAGTATCGAGCCGCGGTTGTATACAAGGCATATGGGGCAATTGATGAACGCATTGCCTAACGAGAGAGTCTCAATATCAAATTTACGCCAACCATCCAACGCGAATTTCACTGTCGGCCGCGGCTGCGGCTTTCATTGTGTTGTGTTTTCTACTATTTTTGATAAAGAATAATTGCGGGTGTTCAATTCATGTTTATGGACTTTATCTTAACGAAATTGAGAAAATAAATTTGTTTCCAGTGGTGTCTTGCCCAAATATTTGAGAGCATGATATAATATCAAATTTATGTCCATCCGCACAACGCTCGAATTACTTCACAGTCGGTATTTAGCATTTTAGGCGCGGTTGCCGCGACACCTTCATTGCCTTCAACATGGGATGTGCTTTTCCGGCGTTCTTTTTGATTGGTTGAAGTTACTGTTGATGGGTTGAAGTCTAGTTATTTTTCGTGTCATTTTGCCGATAGTGACGTCGAATATGTTCCGAGGATATATTTTACCCTTGCTGCCATCGATCACGTTGAGTCTGCTATGATGGCAGCAATCTTGTAACGAGTGGTTTACAGACAAGACATTCCTAGCGCTGAGACAGATTTTAGTTATTAATTTTTGTCTAGGGTAGATTTAGCTACTCGCAGGAGTATGTCAAAAGCAAAACATTACTATGCAAGCCTTCCAATGTGTTAATATGTCAACATCAATTCCCCAAAATTGTGCCACTGGCACTGATTTTTGTTACACCGCATTTGGCAATCGCGACTTTTGTATACGACAGGTATACAAAACTTTAAATCACATAATAAATGTCCATCAGTCTGCGCTTTGTTCAGACATCGAGACCAGTCCTGGACCTGTATACTATATAGATCCTAGCATGACAATAAGTGCACCATATAGTCAGGGAAATGAACTTATATTTGGTGAAACAGCAGGACAGCAATGTTTGGCCATGTGTTTATGTGCGCTCATATACAATAAAAGACAGGGCATTTACTCATCACAAGATTTGGCTCGGTTAATGAATGTTGGCAATGAATTATACTCAAACTTGGCACGTTCGACAAGCCAATCATTTCTAATGTTTACAGAACTGCCTACGCAACTTACAGTATTCAACACAGATTATATTCTCCAGTAAAGTGAATTGGCTATAGTGGCAGACTACTTGGAGAAAGTCATATTGAAGCGTATCAGTTCTGTGTACCATTTCATCGAGCATTTGAGTCGGTACTGACTGAAAACTTTGCTGCATTTATATTGACAATTGATTCCATTGCAGTTTGCATATATTCCATAAATGATGGGAAATACAAAATATTTGACTCTCATTCAAGGGATATATATGGTAGAAGCCATCCACAAGGGACTTGTGTATTGTTAGAGACAGCAACTATCGACCATGTTGTTTTGCATTCACAGTCATTATACGGTGAAAACAGTCAGTTTGAGCTACGAGGAGTAAATATTGAAGAACAACAAGCTTCTTTTCACCACGCCCAAAACCTTAGTGAAAATGGTATGCCTGGTAGTGGTAATGTCTCACAGGAAACTAATACACGTGCATGTAGTTCTGACATTTCTCAATGTTGTGCAGTTGCATTATATTCTATTTGTTACTCCACTATTAAGCCATGCAATTACTGGGATTCGAATACAGTTTCTGCAATTGCTTATTGGGGCATAATTTGGTATAACAACACTGGTATAAATATTTGGTCTTCAAGTACACTACCAAAAAAATACAAAAATGAAGTACATGTAAATTTACAAGCAAATTATCGAGGAGTATTAAGTGATAATGCAGAAAGCAGATTAGACATTGAACATTGTATATGTGATAATAATGAAAGCACAGGTTTTTTTAATTTGGCTTGGAGCTTCCTGTATTTCTTGCTTCATTAGTCGGTGGGGCCACTTGTGGTGCCCACCGACTCTAGGTTTGCCCTTTGGTACGCCACAAAATGACAAATTACGTCATTTTAATTACATAATACTTATGAAATAAAAATCAAAATGGCGACCATGGAATAGCGTGCAAAAGTTTGCTATCGACTATTTGGTCCAGTCGTGTCTTTTCATTTGGGGTTTTTCAAATAAATATATTAAGAATTCACTAAAAGTTATCACGACGTTTTCACTGTTATGTTATCGAGCAGGGAAGTAGATAATTTGTACATAATTTCATATATTTGTATCGCGCGGCGGAGACATCGGTCTCGCAAATGTTGATGCTTTCTATATATTTACTATTGAATTCCCGAAATCTCCGTAGCGCAATTTCCAAACTTTCCAGTCAGTAATAATATTTTGGTCTTTTGGATCTACATAAATTAAACTTAAAGTCAGACCTCGCCTGCTTCTTTTGAGTCTACATCATATTCCTATTAAATAGCATTGAAGGATTAAGGTTCATTGGGACAAAATGTATTACCAAAAGCTGAAAAGGAGGAACTCAATTTCCTGATATCGTATGGAAGTAACATAGAATCTTTCTTGGCCCAATAACATATATTATTATTCCATGCAGATGGCCTCCTCTATACTGCACAGTGCGCACTGGTATGTAGATTAGTAGATATGACTAAAGCGTTATTGCTATACATAATACAGTCGCTTGGTAATCTCCTCTCACGAGGCATTATTGTATTACACAGACGTTATAATGTGTTTAGTTTCGAAGGGAAGAATATTCTTGCCTTCCAGCCTTCGACGCACCAGTTGGTAACATTACACCAGCCGATCTGTGTAATGACAACAGGATAAACGCTTATAATTTTAACACGATAGATACTGTATACTATATGACTACTAAAACAACATTGCTACATGGTTGTACTTGTTTTAACTCCGGCCGGAACCGGATTTACCGGATTTGGACAAAAATTCCGGCCGGAATTCCAGCCGGATTTGCCGGATTTGAGATAAACCGATAATGGGGATAAATTGGGATAATTCAGTATTGAAAATGACGGTTTTATGTTTTTTACTATTTTTAGTTAGTGTCAGTTTAGGTTTTTGATTGTGTTTGAACCTTTTTAAATATCTTTTTGTTAATAACTTGATATTTTATAATAATAAAAGCAGCCAAATTGGTTTATCCCATTCTTGGTGATTTTTTTAAGGTGAAAACAGACATTTAAATCCGGCCGGATTTTCTCCAAATCCGGCCGGATGCCGGAAAATTCGTTAAATCCGGCCGGAATTCCGGTCGGATTTGAAATCCGGTGCACCCCTAATAGTATGCTATAATTTCAAAGCGACTTTAACTAAATGTTCTAAAATTACTATGGAGTCCAACCAAACTCCGTATTTAACAGTCGGATGTGTTCCAATCGAAAGTGTGCAGTGAATTCACTCGGTACAATGAGGGCACTAGCACCAGGAAAATTAGGGTCGAAAGGCAGGTGGAATGGCTAGTGAAAGGCAGGTGGAATGGTGGTATGGATAATGGTGCTCTTAGAAAGGGGGTTTGTCCACTCCCTGGATCAGCAAAAGGAGGTACGGCATTTGGAACGACAGGTGAAACAACAGGTGGCCATGGAATGGCAGGTGGCCATGGAACGACAGGTGGAACAGCAGGTGGAACGACAGGTCGAAAGGCAGGTGGCATGGCTACTGGAACGTCAGTTAGAACAGGATGGCTGATTGGCGAAGAACCACTCGGGTTTAAAAGGTCAGTTACTTGAGTCACAGCTGGTTTTTTCTTGTTGGTCCTTTTACGGCTGCTAGGTTTCTTACCCGCATTCTTTGGACCACTGTCTAAGGCCATCTCGAGGAGCTGCGGACCTTTTTTAGACTTTTGGTACCAAGTAAGGAACTCTTTTAATGTCCCCCGGACTTGTGCAACAGCCAGCACATGTTCACAGATGCTCGTAGAATGGTTGACACAGTTTCCATCACATTTGAGCGAACTACCTTTCCCTGGAGTGACAACGTGGAAAGTGTTTCCATGACCAGCAACAATGAACAAGCCGTCTGATGCACCTGGTTTTGGGACCACGTGATTTGATGCTTGTAACAGGCGATTAGCTTTGTCGAACATCGCACCTAAAATTGGCTTTGGCACGGTAGTAACGCCGCTGGTAGATGCTGTTACAGGCAATAGCATGGCTACAGACGCCGAAGCCGATTCCTTTGTGGCAGTGTCATGCTTTTCCAACAACCTCTTCTCCCCCATGCCACTCTCTAAATACTTGCTAAGTTTATGCATTTTCTCTTCACTACCGAGCTTGCTCCACTGCTGGTCATTTACTGCCAAGTGCTGAAATTCTGGACGGATTTCATATGGCCCTTTTCCAAAAACAGCGTGATCTTCATTTGGAAATTGGGTCTCGATAAGATTCTTTATTTCACCAATGAACTCATGAGGTCGTTTTGAGTCAAATTTAAGGGCATGTTTCACCATAAAATTCGCTGCTTCTGGGTCATTGTTTGTATATTCTTTGGGTGGATCGCCAAGACCAGCCTCTATTCTTACAGGCTTTAACATTGACTCTTTCATACTGTTAGCCTATGAATTAGATCTTAGAGTTAGATTTTTCTCTAGACATGTTTTTGCCTTTCTAGTTCTATTAAATAAATACAATCTCCAAACAAATCACATTCACTTCGGCTTACTGCCTCTACTGTCTGTCTAAGTAGATAAAAAATTCAGCAATGTGCCAATGTCCAAATGAAAGGTACATGTTGAAATTATTAAAATGTGATTGATCGAGGAGTACTATTTGTTCATTATTCAAAAAGTATTTTTTTAATTGTTAGTTTTTCAGTAGGGTTTTTCAGTAGCAGTTCACGAAGGTTTGAATGGCTAACAAAACATTTCGCAAACACAAACTGAAGCACAAGGTTTGGATGACTCACAAAAACATTCCGCAAACACGCAGAAAAACAAAGGTTACATCCAGCTACATAAAATCCGTCAGTGTTGTAAGCAATTCTCTTGGCCTAATTCTCGTCAGTATTGCAATTCAGTGCAGAATTTTGCTTTGACAGAAAAAAATTATGCAAAGTTACTATAAATGTTGAGAAAAATTTCTAGAAATTTGGTTTTAGTAGAAGCTTCACGATTTCCGAGCTAAAAGATAAAGTAAACTATAATTTAAAGTAAACTATAATTTTTTGGCCCCCCCAGGGCCAAATTTCCTGTGACACCAGTTTTCCACTAGGCAGAATTTTCCGCGCGGAGCTGAATTTTTCTTTGTCTTGTGATTACTCGGATGGAACTAATTAGAAAAGACAAATTCTGCTCCATGCGGAGAATTCCGCCTAGTGGAAAAAACGGCCTTAAGGAATCATGCAATGTGTGTCAACGTGCATGGAAGAAAAAAATTTATTTCGCCACGAATTCATAAATAATCTTACTTAGCTTGTGAATTTCTGCTGCATTTCCGATAATTTTTACATTTAGATTGTAGGATATACGGTATATTGCGACGATACGCCCCTTTAAAAATCACTATTAAAATTTCCATAGTTGGAACAAATCAGATTATTAGTGCCACTTTCTCTAGTCTTATATGCATGGACTATTGGATTGCTTGTTAATAAAGCTCTGAATTTACTGGAAAAACTGCAAATTTGAGGCATCTTATCTCCTTGATCAGGGTCCGCCAATCCCTAATGATATTAAACTAAAATATTAAGATCAGCTGCTGCATGTGTACTTTTGCACGGCGAAATAACTTTGATCGTATATATTAATAAGCTGTCGATCAGTATTTGACTAAGTAGTCGCTCAGTATACATGTAAAAAATTCACGTCTTGTTGACGACAAGTTATATGTTCGATTTATGATTTGGATCTTGTAATATGTACCATGCCAAGGCAAAGACCATGCATAAGTAAATGATTACAAAATTTGTCGTACCTTTTCTTTCAAAAACCATTCATAAAATGTTGATGACCTTTTGGATGAGTTATTTTCTGCTGCTTCGCGCTCGTCCCACTTCTTCTGCAAACCTTGAAGTTTGGAATCAAACTCTTCGACATTGCCACAATCAACTAGACCAGTGTACTTCACATCCTCTTCCTGTTTCCCAAAGATCTCTGCCAGAAACAAGTTCTTTGTTGTCGATGACAACCCCCGTTGCTGTAACTCTCGTTTCACGTTGTCTTTAAAGTGTATGAAACAACGCAAGAACAGTGCGAAGCGAAAGTTTCGCTTTAATCCATTTATTAAAACTTTCTCCCCATCAGTTCCACAAGCTATGATACCTTCAAGATCGGGGCATTCTGTGATAAGCGTGTTGGCAAATCTGGAGTATGTTTTCCAGTCTTTATGCTTGTGCATTAGAATGGGGCCAATAAACACCGGTGGTTTTTTTGTTGAACCGTGATGGAGCTTTAAATTTCTGTAAGTAGTCACAGTTAAACTGATATTTTCCTGGAAAATATTGAAGGCCGGGTCAGCTCCAAAAATGCAGAATTTGCTTGGGTTGGTGCAGGAATTTTCAGGTTACGAAGCTGGCGATCGCTTGCCAGAACAACAAGAAAGTCCGGATGTATTCTGCATTCTCGAATGAAGGCGGAACCCCAACATCTTCTTTTTCTTCCCTTTTGGCTTTCTCCAAAAGCTCCCAAACTCCTCGTACCTCAGCAGTAGGACCTCTGGAAGTGGGATTCTCAGCCTCTTTCTTTGCTGCACACCTGTGAATGCAAACAATAGTTGTTTGAACAAAATTTACAGAGATTACTAAAGATTTAAACATTGCTTAAGATAAGATCCTGTGAACAGGTTATATCATAATTACAGCAATAGTTTGCAATAACAATGAACCAATGCGTTGCCACGGGTGAAGTAATAGTTTCTGCTTGCGTGATACAGTGCACAGCAGTCAAATAAATACATCGAGTGCATGTATCTTGTGTTAACGACCGTACTCTACAATCAGCTAATAATTGTCTGTATAATTTTAAACATGGTTAATATTTTTCTGTAGCTCATATCACCCAATTGGTGAGACAAATCTTTTGAACTAAGATCACGTGTTTATATCTTTAATTATATTTACCTGGCATTGTAAATATCTTGTGGACCTCTTGGAAGTTGTCCAACACTATGTGCGTGGGTAACGTCTCCAACGGAACGATATACATTGTCCAGCGCATTACTCACTGTTTCTTTACCATTAAGGGAAGCTTGCAATGCATTCCTGGTACTCGACATCAAACGTGCATACGGCTTGGTCGTCTTTGCGTTACCATGTGGTAAAACACTGCTGACTTGGTGTTCCTTTCCTTTAAAAATATACTGGATCAGTGTATACCATGGCTCTACTCCACCAGAATCTAAAAAAAAACCCGTGTATGGTATAATTTGTTGAACAGTAATTTCAATAATATGATAACGTGTTATTGATATCCATTGAGCGTGATTTTTTCCAATTATATTTCGAATTTATTCCAGCATTTTTTTTGCATGATGATAATGCTGGTATAACTGGTGCACTAACTAAGTATAGGTACAATTAGGGATTAATACTGCTGGTGATGTTTGGAAATTTTACCTAAATTGGGAGGCTCGTCCAACTTGGCAAAATTTCCAAACATCACGAGCACTATTAATCCCTAATTGTACGAGCAACATCGCGTGATTACTTATTTATTGTTAGCATGACAAACTGACTGGATAATTCTCAGTGTCAACATCATATTCTCTTGCCAAAGCCCAGTCCTGCCAGATTTTCAACCAAAATTTAGTGCCTTTGTTCGTATTTTCATTTAGTTCTTTTGCTTTATGTTACTCTAGGGCAATTTCATTTGTGTTTAATAAAATACCTTTCCGCCATTTTGTTTGTTTTGGGAAAATCATTAACTGTACTGCAGTACAATTAATGAAAGAATTGTACTCCTCTCAACCAATCAGCATCCAGTAATTTTGTCATGGTGATAATAAATCTAGAAAAGATTGTCCGCAGCAGTAACCGGAATTTTTTTTCTTTATTACACTCAGTCAGGCATACAGGTAAACTGGAGACACTTCTATATACTGTGAAAATCTAAAAATGTACCAAAGTTTTGTACCATTTGCACAGTAATGAGATCTTCCAGAGAAAAGCAAAATTAAATCTCAAAAATCTAGAAAACCACTGTATGGAAAGAAATACATGTTACCGACAGCAGCCGGAAAATATTTAGAGCAGCTAGCTCCCTACATAGCATCTCCCTACATACAAAAAATATTTGGCTAACATTTTTCTAATTCACTCTCATCCAATTCTCATCTAAATTTAACCAAAATTTAACTATTTATTCTTGCATGAACAATGTCCATTAGTCTCTTTTTTATATAGTTATCGTGCTACAGACATACACAGACAGACATACAAACAATGATGAAAACATAAGTTTACATAACCTCCTTGCAGAGGGAGCAACTAGTGACGCAAAACTTTTGTAGATGCTTTGTATTTACCTTGTACAGTTGATATGACTTTTCGCAAATCGCTACTCGATTTATTCACGTAGTATATTCTTTTCAGTGTGAATACGTCAGAATTTTCCACTGGACTTTCGTTTTCTTGCAGCAAAGTGACATTCTTTACCATTCCATGTTTGTCGCGTTTCACCAGGAAAGACTTCTTTGGCGAACCATTGTGCTCCCACGCACCCATATCATCGCACTTTAAGTCAGAGATTTTTGATTCTTGCGTTGTTCACCAAAAATGACACGTTGTGTGCTATATTCACTGGCTGGGAAACACACAACCGTTCTGGGGCATGCTCCCCAAGTAATATCTTCACCAAACTTTCAAACTGGTATGTCTGTTTTTGCCATTCAAACACTGGCGTAAAACACTGCGTCCAGACGTCCTTTCTGTACATATGCCCTCAAAATCATAGGATGAAGATTCATTACTAATAGAACCGCTAAACAAATTGAAAGGTTCATGATCATGCTCATTGCCCAAGAATGATATACATAGCGCTGTTGTTGTAGTTAATTACCTGAATGACATACACAAACTTACCTGCTCACGCAGACATACTCCCAAGTCTGATTCAAGGTCGAGCGTTCATTTGTACTTTGTGCTTGATCATCACCAACCTACAAAAGATTTTTTATTTTTTATTATACAAAACGGATCATGATACTTGGAGAGAATAAGTTAATTAAGAACATCAATATCCGAATATCCAGTTAATGACAAATTTGAAAATTTCCATACAAACATGAATCCAATTACGAATGTATACACAGTGTGTATAAAAAAATGTTAGTCTTTGAAATTCAAATTAGCCATATTCTATTGAATTAATTTGACAAGCTATTCAAATCACAATGATTATGGCTAATTTGAATTTATGAACTATCCTTTTTTGATGCAAACTGCATAGTCTTTGTTGTTGTTGATGGTTCAATAATCAATAATGTCAATTTTTAAATAAGACTTTATTTTTAGTGTTTCCTCTATTGAGCATTTTTAGCATAGTGATTTGTGAATTACAAGTTTTGCGAATGATGTTAATCAGCTATAGATAAATTTAATGATATTATATAATTTTTGCTTGTTGAATCACCACATGCATATTCTTGATTTCAAGGCTTTCAATTTGTACCTGGATCTTCATAGATCTTTCTAATAATTATATAACTGTTTTATTCATGTGCCTCTTTCATATATCAAAAGCGTCATGATCTGTTTGCTGTTTGTTATTTTAAACCATAGTTAATAACGTGATCAGACTAGTTTCTTTCCAATTTAACAAGCTCTCATCACAAGACTCAAGAGAAATTTATTTCTTCCAGCGGCTTTCTCTGATGCACAAAATTAATTTGCATGTGCGAGCACGTACGTCAGTGCGGACACTTGAGAATTACGGAAGGGGGGGGGGGGAAGAAGGTTGCCACCTTATGTAGCTGGAAACCTTCGTTTTTCTCCCACTTTTGTACATAGTTGAAATGTTATTTTTACAGCTTTGTGACTGTTTTTCAGTCATTAAAAGGCTTTCAGAAAATATGGGGAGTGAGAGGGGCGTGGCTCATGTGAACTAACTTTCCAATTGTGCGAGCGAACGGCTTTATTGGCGTGGTTATTACTGAATCATTATTGACTTAGACCCTATAGATTTGAGTTGTTGGAAGGGTCGGCTAAACAAGTTAGTGACCGCAGGGGGCAACAGGCCCCCAACCCAGTGATTTATAAGGGGGGGATAATTTTGGCCCCACTCCAAAAAAACCAAATTGATTTCGAAACTAGAAGTATTTGAAATCGTATATATATAATCAAATATCTGTAATCGATATTTTGATAACAACATTTCTTGTAATAATCCATCCTGACTCGCAGATAGCAAAGACTCACAAATCATAATGAACGAATTAATGAAACGGCCTAACAAAAGAGGTAGAGAAGATTTTAAAAATGCTATTTCTGACGATTTAGAGATGCAAAATTTTCCTGCTCTGTGCCAACCATGGTGACGCTACGTGGGAGTCCGGCCCTTTAAGTTTATCAAGCTGGTTCCTTGAGTGACTAAGTTTTGGTATCTACATAAATATACTATACAAGTACATAACTGAAAGTTCAGTCTATCTACAGCATAATGTAATGCTGTATATCCAAAAATCTGTTTCAGAAAATGCCAGGAATTGCATTCAGGGTTAGAAAAATACAAAAATTTTCTGGGGGAAAATACCTCCAGA